CTCTCTCTCTCTCTCTCTCTCTCTCTCTCTCTCTCTCTCTCTCTCTCTCTCTCTCTCTCTCTCTCTCTCTCTCTCTCTGTGCCTACCTCTCTCTCTCTCTCTGTGCCTACCTGAGAATTAGACAACTTACCAATGGTGCTGCACATGGAGTCGAGGCGTATTCAAAAAGGGACCTTATCTAATGGATCTGGTTGTCAAAGCGATAAAAAAACATCCAGGGTATTGTCCATATGAGTATGGCTTCGCATGCGTCCAAAAACATTTTGGGTGCATGAAATTGAAACTGCGAAACACATGGATGCGTAGGATGGCTTCACACTTCCCTAGCCTTTGTGGCTGTGAATGGCACACAAATGAAGCTGTGGATAAACAGATCAACAGTTCAAATGCTGATGTAATCAGATGAACCCCTTTTCTTTCTCCTTTCTTGCAAAGATCCAGTTCGCAATTGAATGACTTGAAGTCTGTCTACAAGCTTGGTGGAGTGAAAATCAGTTGGCTATTTGGGTGGATGTGAAGTGCAGAGCTGCCAGCAAGGCCAATGAATGTGTCTGTGAAGTATGCCAGTATTGTCATGGAAATGCAATTTAATGCATTGTAATTTCGAAACTGATTGGCAGCGAATGATCTTTAAAATGAAGACGTTTACTCTGAGTTGTGCGAGCGAAAAAAAAAAGGGAACTCAGCAGGGGGGAGTGACTATGTTGACGTTTACCTTGTCTAAGTTATCGCCGTCAATTTGCAACTTTGCAGCATGTATTCTAAAGTTGGAGACCATATTTTCTTTTGATGCATTTGACTGTGGAAGTTGGGAAGGAGAGGAGGAAAAGGAGAGCCCAAAGGGGTAAAAAAAGCCGAGTGACAGGACGGATGATTTGAAACCTGTTAACTAAGAAAAACAGAAATGCGACTTGGTGAATGGAAAAGCCCCGTCAGAATATATATGTTATATATGTATTGTCACATAACTACAAACTAAAAGAGCGCACTTTGCGGAACAAAGAATAAAAGCAAAAAACGGGCACAGTGGGGGGAAAAATAAAAATAAAATTTATAAAAACAAAAAGAAAAAACAAGGGCAGATTGAAACCATTAAATTTCTCATTCTTCTTTGAACTCCACCTCCACTGTGCCTCTCACGTGCAAGGCTCGCCATATATATCGTCAAATATAACTAGCCTCCTGACGAGTCGGTGAAACTCCGACGAAACAGTTTGTCACAGCCCCTCATTTGTTGTCCTCTTCTCCCTCTCTGCCTACGGTTTACCGGGCAGTTCTATTTGACGATATATATATATATACATACATATATATATCGTCACAAACAGAACTGCCCGGTAAACCGTAGGCAGAGAGAGAGAAGAGGACAACAAACGAGGGGCTGTGACAAACTGTTTCGTTGGAGTTTCACCGACTCATCAGGAGGCTGAACCCTCAACAGTCTGCAGAATCCCCTCACTGATTACACTGTAAATGATAATCTTAACCAAATCAAAGTAGACTATCACTCACCCACACCAGATGGAAAACTCTACAGACTGTCGGTTCATATATATAGGGTTAAGCCTCCTGATGAGTCGGTGAAACTCCGACAAAACAGTTTGTCACACCCCCTCGTTTGTTGTCCTCTTCTCCCTCCCTCTCTGCCTACGGTTTACCGGGAAGCTCTGTTTGACGACAATATATATGAAGTTCGTGAGAAGGGAAGCGTCACGTGTCACTGCGGACAATTTGGTGCATAGTACAGGAAGACATCAAGAGGAGGCTTCACCAAGCGGAGGTTAAGGAGACCCGGATAATTTAGGCATTTGCAAGGATGAAATTGGCCCGGTCAGAATGTATCTTGGACGAATCGTGTGCGTCTGTTTCGGAATGTGTCGTTTTGTTTTGACTGACCATTAACCACCCATGCTGTTTCTGTTTTTTTTTTTTTTTTGTGTGTGTGTGTGGGTGAGTGGGTAGGTGGTGTGTGTGTGTGTGTGTGTGTGTGTGTGTGTGATGTATTGAATCCTTTGTTATGATTTCCTGCCAGTGCTTCGTCAGCTCGGGCTAGTGCTCTGATCCATGCATACTGTTATGGTGATGTGGCAAGGTTGGTTTTCTCGCCTTCGTCTTCTTGCTACTGTTGATGTGCCAACTTATTTCTTAACCAGGTTAACTTGGTCGCTCAAACATATGCCTCTCTTATTTTCTCACCTTTGTTTTGTTGCTACTGTATCAAATTCTTAATGACTTGGTACTAAAGCTTATAGATATACTTCCTGTAAAGCAGTGACTATCGAATATGATTAATCAAGGTATACTGATTTTAATCATGTAGTAAGATGTCTTCCTCTTCTGTTCTTTCTATTATCCTCTTTTCCTGGACCATATGTGTTCCTCTTCTGCTCTTTTTGTTATTCCATTCGCTTATCTGTTTTTTTCTTTTCTTTTTCCTTTTTCTTTACTGTGTTTACTATGTCACCCCCATGCGCTGTTGAAACAAAGACCTCAATTCGAAATTTGAATCCATATGGAACAAGGGGAATGAATTCTTGATTAGGATCTGTTCGGTAGGTCGTACACTTTGCTGTATCTGTGAATACAGATGGCTTACTCACCTGGATGACGAGCGAAGAAAAAGGGGGGGGGGGGGGGGGGGGGGGGAGTGAATGAAATGGGGGAGGGTGGTGAGGGTGAATGAAATACATGAATTTCCTGGGGCCAGTCAGTGTGACGATGATATCTCTTGGATCATTTTCGTTATCCGACAACTGAAAACTTGATGTTGTTGGGCCCAGTTGGGGATCTAAAGGAGGAAAAAGAAAGTCAAAAGACTCTGAACGTTTTTGGTTAGTCTTTGTCACTCAATGTTGAAATTTGTGATTACCTGGGGTACCAAACTGGCCACCGGGGCCAGCTTGGCTTTGAGGGCGGTCGGGCCTGGCAAGGGCCAGGCAAGGTCCCTGCAAAAGAAAAAAAGCTGAAGGGAAAAAAAAACTAGGTAAGGTGTTTGCAAAAGAGAAAAAGGAAAGAAAAAAACTATGCTATGGAGAAGAATAAACTAAACAGCTTTTGCGTCAGGGTTGCACTGAAATTCTTTACTGAATTTGGAAACAAAAAATACGTTGTTTCCCCCCCCCCCCCCTGTTTTTGGGCCCGGCGGGGCAAGTGGTCCAGTGCCACTTTGGTGCCCTAGGCAATGACCATGGGCCGATATCAACGCCCAGGGAAATCCAAAGACTGGCAGTGATTTATTTCCTTCCGAGGAAATCACCCGTGCGTGTGATGTTTTATTTATGTCTCTCAGACTTTTTCTGCTCTAAAGCAATTCGTGGCATAGCGGCTTCATGCTGCTATCTTGCATTGTCTCACCCTTCGTGTGCAAGGGCTCTGTTTGTTCGCTCCTGTGTCGCCTCTGTTGTGCCATCCTCATGCCCACATTCCATTTTCTGTTCGTTTTTTTGCCGTTCTCCTTGATTTCCGTTTGCCTTTGCAGTGCCTGCTCTGTTGACATTGCTGGTTGTGTGTAGTTCGACCTTGACACAAGCACCTCTCAGCGGTCTTACCATGCGGCAAACAGTGAACCCGGACAAATAATGGAGGTAACCGCACCGTGCCCACATCTCCCCTCCTCTTCCTCGTCATCAGTGTGGTTCAGTGTGCAAATGTAAAGGGACTTAGGCACATCGATTTCTGCATGGTTGTCTGGTTGGGGGCCTTTCTTCTGTTATAAAGTGGCCTTGCTGTTTTTCAAATTTGACGGTACTGTAACTGCATTTCATTTTTGTTGATTGAACCAAGATGTTGACGCTCCCAGTGTGCTCATAAATCCTTTGTCTGTTTCTGGTTAGTTGCTATAAGCAGGACACTCTCTCTCTCTCTCTCTCTCTCTCTCTCACACACACACACACACACACACACACACACACACACACACACACAAAATTACATAACATTTATCAAAGCACAACAATGTGATCGAAGATTATAAGGTAAGGTTGTTTCACTTTTGGATCTACACATCTGGGTGGAAAAGGGGTTGTTCTGATGACAGTCTATAACACACACACACACACACACACTCCCTCTCTTTATGTACTACCAGTAAACGCATATGAATGAGCGTCATTGAGAGAACAGACAATATAATTACCCTTTTAGGCTTTTACTCCGTCTCTTTTTATAACGTGCAAGTGGGCCGTAAAGGCACATGGGGATGTGGGCAGCTGGCGCTCGACCATCGTCAACGTGGCCAGCCTTGTGCATGATAGGCACAGTAAGAAGGTAACTACAAAAACAAAGAAAATGGGAGGCCTCCCAATGCTAGCTGATGAAATATAATAAAGAAAACGATTTAATGAATGTATTGTGTCTCGTATTGTTTTTGCTGCTGGGTTGGCCCATCTCAAGTGTGTTGCATTGCTTGTGTAAAGGAATTGCTTGTTTAAAGGTAAGGTTCTGAATAAATATGGACTTCAGAAGCAAAACTGTTTCATTGGTGGATTGGCTCATCTTGAGAATGCTTCATTGTCTGCCATACAGGGAAAGTTGCTATGACTTTGGATCTACTCATCTGGGTGGAATGGGGGAAGTTGTGGTGATATTTTATAACACACACACACACACATGAGAGGAAATAAAAGAGAAACCACAAAGAAAGCTAAGTAACGTAAGTGAAGAAAGTACTGCACAAGGAGAAGGCAATGCAACAGTTTCGGTGTGCGTCATGCTGTCTGCTATAGAAGATTCTTTCTGTTATTTTTTTTTTCATGCTAATCTTCTGTGTGTCATTTCTCGGATGTCCAATTTTAACGAATGTCTGGAAGGATGTCCCGAATAACTGCACAAGGAAAAGGCAATGTTGTGGGTTTTTTTTTTTCTTTTTTTGCCTGTTCTTCTTCGGGTTGAAGGTTGCTAATTTGGTGTCCTTTGGAGTATTGGAAATGCCTCTGCTGAGTCTGCTGACATTTCTGGAATTTGAAATTCCTAAAAATTAGTAAAGAATAAAAAAATTGAAATTTCTGAAATTGGAATGTTGGCAAAAGTTTCCATGGCACTTTTGCCTTTGCCTTGCAGGTCTATAGGCAAAAAAAAAAAACCTATAGAACTGCAAGGCAAAGGCAAAAGTGCACTTTAATAGAAATTTTGCCAACATTCCAGTTTCAGAAATTTCAAATTAGGTTAATATGGTGTACACCGTACACCCTATGAATTGGTGGCAAGTTTGGTTAAAAAACTAGAATGGCTTTTGCATCTAAAATGCCCTTTGGGTTTTGTAACTGTTGTTATTGTTTACTAATGGCGCGGCAAATTGTCTGAAAATTTAGGCCTCCGTTAACCATCTCTCGCAACTTCGAGAGTTGGATGCGGTGCTTCCACAGTCCACGCCCAAACCGGTCCTGTCCGGTCTACAGGGTTGGGCGCTTACTGTAGGTAGCGCCAGCTCCTCAACTCGGTATCTCTTGCAATCTAACCACCGAGTAGCCCTCTTGTGCCATTCTACAGTAGTGTGCTCCAGGGGTGAGTACCGGGAACACACTGAAGTTCGTCTTTCCTTTGCTCTGTTCTTTGCCCCTCGACTTCCCGCCTCTCATCTCCTATAGGACTCCACTCCCTACCCCTTTCCTTCCTCCCTCTTGTTTATGTACTGCTACTAAATGCATAGGTATGAGCATCATTAAGAGAACAGATAAAATATATAAGCTGAAGGTCTGAAGAAAAGAAATGAACAGGAGTATATCTCCCCCTTTACTCTGCCTCTTTTCATAACGTGCAAGTGGTCCGTTAAGGCGCACGTGGATGTGGGCAGCTGGCTCTAAACCGTAGTCAATGGCAAGCCTTGTACGTCCAAAGCGCAGTAACAAGAAAGCTGCACGAGCAAATAAAAGGGAGTACACAGTTGTCTCACAATTCGGACTACGACTCTACAAGAGCTTTTTTTTCTGTTTCTTTTTTCTTTTTCTTACATGATCTAGTTCCCAAATTCTTACTATTGAGTATTTTGTGGCATTTCTGCAATTTTCTTTGGCTCTCTCGAAGTTTCTTCTCTCCTTTGTCTTCTTTGTCACCAGTGCCGCGAGCGAGGTTTTCAATCTTGTCCCGGCGTCTTTCTAAGGGCCTCGCCACACCAGTCGTAGAACATGAAAAATGTGAGTGCATCTTCCCAACAAAGGTCGACTTATTCATTCATTACAGTGAATAGTATTGGATGTATCTTGCCACCTTGTGCAGGAAGATGCACTCAATTTTTTCTTTTTCATTTTGTGAGTGGTGTGTCGAGGCCCTAAACCTGATTTGGTATCGTGATCCCTGGACAGTTATGTTCTGGGGTCACCTCGTGGAAAGTGTAATTACTAATTACTTAGTGGACATAATGAACCGTCTATAGTGTAGATGCAGTGGCAAACTTCCGACGACCAACACGGTTTGAGAAGAAGTTGTGTCACGTTTTTTTGTGTAATGGCTGCACGTTTCTCTGGCGGTTACTGACTACCGTCTTCACCCGAATGAAACACCCGGTCATTACAACCGTATTGGAAGCAACATTCAGTCTAGATGCAGCCATAATGACCGGGCGTTCTATTCGGGTGAAGACGGTAATCTGGGTAATGGCCCCAGCACTCTTCGGGTTGAGATGTTGAGGAATTCCCGGCCCCAGTGATTCTACATATATTAAAACTGCAACTTGGTGCCTTTGCCGGTGGGAAAATAGCGGGCCTCGGTTGGTCCTCTGACTTTTTCGGAGGCTGAAATGAAGTGACGACCGCTGATCAGATTTATCAATGGCAGTCGTCGTCGGGCCCGACCTCCGAATCTTTAGGAGTTTGGGAAAACTGCCACTTGTTCCTATTTTCCCAACACTGGCGGAGGTACTAGTGGTTTAAAATGAAAAAAAAAAAGTTAGCCTCACATTTGTGCACTTGTCCATGCTTGTTTTGTTCTGTTGCAGATGACAGCAATTGTGAAAAAAAAAAGAGAAAAACGACTTGAGAAGGATTTCGTTGAAGAGCAGCCATGAGTCCACACAGGCGTTCAGGACGAGGACGACTAACAGTCTGACCGCTGGGACTGGATTGATTATGGAGGTCAATTACACACACCAGTCAGTGTGCAGAGCAGCAGCATGCATGTGAACATCTGAAAATCAGTCGCAGAGCATCCATCACCTTAAGTACTGCAAAACTGAACAACATTTCAGAGAAGGACCCTGCAAGAGACGTCACCATTTTGGACTCTTGGTATCAAGCCACTCTCTCCCCTGAGAAAATTTGCAACGGGCTCGTTTGTTTCATAATCATCATCATCATCATCTGGCCTCATTGTTGTCATCATCATCATCATCATCATCATCATCATCATCGTCATCGGTGCCCATCATCAGCGCTCATCTTCATCATCATCGTCCAAGCGGGCTGATTTACGACTGCTTCTGACATGGCTTCACTGAGAACCTGAATGTGTTTGTGTGTGTGTCTATGTGTGTTTATGTGTGCTTCTGTGTGTTTATGTCTGTTCCTGTGTGTTTATGTCTGTTTGTGTGTGTGTGTGTGTGTGTGTGTGTGTGTGTGTGTGTGTGTGTTTGTATGTGTTTATGTCAGTTTGTGTGTGTTTATGTGTGTTTGTGTGTGTTTGTTTGTGTGTGTGCGTCTACGTGTGTTTCTGTGTGTTTGTGTCTGTTTCTGTGTGCTTGTGTGTGTGCGTTTGGATTCTTGTCGTTGTTGTTGATGATGATGAAAATGTACTTGTTTTTTGTTTGAATGTAAACTGAGAGCAGCGCAGATGATTCATGCTTAGCATATGTCAAGTTAGCTTCGCAGCTCGCAGCTCACAAAGGTTTTGCAGGTGAGAACGTTTTCAATCGGTGTTTCAAGGGAAGCCCAAATAAGCCATGACGCCATTTGTTCTCCGGCACATTCGTTGAAAGTGGAATGATGCAGAGTAGGTTGTCATCACATCTGGGCAAGGGTGACCCAAATTTGAGAGAGAAAAAGTTAAAAGAAGGAAAAACATCGCAGTAGCTTTGAGATCATGTCATTCATCAGGGTCACAGGGTGTAAAAAACACAAATTTGAAATTACATTAGACGATTAAACTCATTGATCGGATAGAAGAAATATCCCCCTGAGAAATCTGAGATTGAATCTCACTCGCAGAGTGTGCTTGGGCAGGAATGATGATGGTCTGGGCCATCTGGCATGCGATCTGTTTATGGCATAGCTATGGCGGACCTTGCCATACCCTTGTCCATGTCCATGTCCATGTCTATACCCTCGCCCTCTCCCGTGTGCAGTAGAGTTGTAGTGTCTTAAATGTCTGCTTAGAAATGCCCCAAAAGTGGCTGTCATGTCCTCGATGTTTCGGCAGAGATTTTTGCCAACTGTGAATGGAATCTAAGATGAATGTTCATTGTTCTCCCATATCTCGAGCATGTGCCTGCTTTGCACTCATATTCAACAGCCCCCCCTCTTTCCCCCGTCATTTCGTGTTCAGCATTCTGCTAGCATATTACCAGAGATTGCTTTTGCCTTGAGATATATTAAGCATCAAAAGCTCCATGAAAGAAAAAGAGAATTCATAGTGGCTCTTTGCCCATTAGCACAATTTGCTATTATTCCATTGATTTGTTTTCATATGGGAAATTTGTATGCTGCTTTTACTTGTTCATGTTCATTTATGATGCTCACTAGTAGTTCAGTTTTGCTTGTATTTCATTTTGCCTCCTTGAATGGAGAGGTCATCCTCAACAGTCCTCCTTTCCCACATCATTTCACTCTGATGTCTTGTGACCCTCCTTGAAACTCCCCCTCCCCCCCCCCCCCCCCCCCCCAAAAAAAAAAAAAAAAAAACAAAGAAAATCCTGCGGGCCCTCCCCCTTGGTATACGTACTCTGACTACTCTTACCTGTTTTTGAAACAGAAACTGGAGACACATCTGCTTACGATTCAGGCAAATCATTTTCTTTTTTTCTTCGGGCATATCCTTTTGGGCAGAGATTGTTTTGCCCGCGGGCATATCCTTTTGGATAGAGAACTGTTTTATCGTGGAATCCACCCTGCTATTTTAATGCAGGCTTGTCTATCTGTAACTCGTTTAGGGCTTTTGCTCAATTTGGCTCAGACAGATCTTTACGCTGCTGCTCAATATTATTAATTTAATAGACTGCGGAGTGAGACTAACCAATGTCCCACGTAAACAATCACAATACACTCCAGTCTCCTAGGTCTCTCTGGCATATTTCCCATCATGCCTTCCACCCTTCTCAGCCACTCATCCCAACCCTACGCTTCGATTCGTGTCTCCAACGGTCTTCCGAAGCTGCCAGGCTCCACCTGCCTTCTTTTTTTTTCTGAATAAAGAAAACATACAGCTGTCTTCTCCTCATATATGGAGGACAAGCTGCATTTTTTGCTACCCTATTATCTTCTCTCAATCTTGTATCACCTTTTTACTATAACTTATCTACCTAACGGGTCACACGGACTCACACCTTATTCCTGAGGAATCACCTTACTCGCAAGCCGTACCAAGCTGACAACAGATCAGAGAGACAACCCCTAACTGTGGAAAGTCGAAGCTTAAGTTTACCATAGCTAGAACTAAGATATCCTAAGGTTATGAGTCTACAGCCTCTACACCTATCTATCTCTGCTCTGTGCGGGGAGCAGTAGTTTGGAGTCTTTGGACCGGTTTCTCGATTTGTGTGTGTTATCCTTGTGCTGGGGCCACACTGATCTATATTCGCTATCGTTACAATTTTAATGGATGTTCGGAAGACTACCTGCTTTTATTTCTATCTGGAAGATTCGAGGTGCTTTCTTGTTGCTGACTTTCAGAACTGTTGATGTTTTTGTGTGTGTCTGGAATCTGGTTTCATTTTGCTTTGTATTTCCCAGTGGCAATGGCCTCAATCAGAGTGGCAATGAGACGGTTTCCGCTCCCTGCAAATCGGCGTCTGAGAGTTATGCAGCTCTCATTGATTCATGACCAGGCACTGAATCGGTGCGTTGACATTTGTGCATGGCATGAATTGATTGCATCATGACCACCACCTGAATAATTTCTTAAATTCTTACCCTTAAGAGTAGATGCAGTTGCTGAGCGATTCCCTTCCCCCCCAGCTCCACCCCCCCTGCTGTCGACCATGACCTGGTAGATGAAATGCATTGATGTCAATCTGATGATCAGTTGTGTGAAAGCTACCATGCATTGTTGATTGGCTTTGTAAAAAAATGTTGTCCGCTTCTCTTGCATCGATGATTGGTTATGCGATCATGCGAAAACTTGTCGCAGCAATAAAACCCACTCTCCTGCCCACCGCAAGAGCACATAGTTCCACACACCCAGCCCACATAGGACCACACCGGTCTCCAATGTATTATTAAAACCCATTTCACAACCCGGTTCACAAACAACAGCACACAAGATGGGATCTTAGACAGATGGAGACAGATGGTTAATGGAGGGCCGAGAATTCGCCGTTTTCGCCGCGTCGCCACAAGCAACATTGTGGGAAAAACACAAAAACACTACAAAACCCAAACACAGAAAACACTTTCCGAGTTAAAATGAAGTGCCGCTTAACGATTTCAAGGGAAAATGCTAACTTTTTCTCTATTAGTCCAAACATGTCAAAACTGAATGCATGACGTACCTTAAAGCACCTACATATTACACGAAAAGAAAAACAAACAAAAAACAAAGCAACAAATCTGGGCAATGTGACAGTTTCAGTGCAAAATTTGGTGGAAAAAAAAAACACCCTGGGTTAACCAAGTGTAGTGGGTGGGCCCTCCAGACGAAGGCAATATTCTGTCCAATGGGTTCTGAAAGTGAGCCGGTCGATTTGTGCCGCTGCATTGTCTGTTCTCCCTGCCGTCAGATAACTGACTCTTCTTGGTGGTAACAAAGGTGGTTGCTGAGTCTTGGTGAGCACAGATGTTCCTATTGTTCATCCGCGTGCCGGCTATGTAAGGGCTATTATGCTCTGTTATTCTCGACTAAAAAGTATAAACACCATCTATCCGCTTATCTGGGCCGTCTGCGCAGGGGAGAGATGAAGCTTGCGGAAGTGGCAAGTGCTCAGCTGAACGCAGTAGCATCACCAGTGGACGGTGTTGACATGGAGTTGAAGATCGAAGCAGGAATTCGCCGAGCCCGTACTCTGCTTGCCACTGAGAGGATTGATCAGGTAGAGTTTCCTCATGCTGCTGTCGTACATTGCTCGTGTTGTCGAATCCTCTACCTGACATGGAGTTGAAGACCTAAGCAGGGGATCATTGCTCTCTCCTCGACTCATATGTTTGTGTACCCAGATGAAGCCAAGTGAGCCAACACATTCCATGGATGGAAACGGACTTTCAGCATCCGCCAGTTTTCAAGCTTCCCTTAAACCACCACTCCCTCCAACATCAAGAGATTGGGGGGGCTGGTAGCACAGTTTCATCAGGGCTACCGGCAGTACAGTGTGGAGAACCGAAAGAGTGGCAAAAACTGAAAATGAGTCGAATTGCATCCGCGATTTACTTCGAGGGCTAAATGATTTTTATTTTTTTTTTAAATCTTTTGCCTGAAAAGATCACGAGCAAATCTACGGACCCTCCCATTTTCAGAGGTTTTGACGCATTCTTTGGAGCGCGAAAAATCGCTGAAGTTGGAGTACTTTTCCCGATGACCCATGGCATAGTGGCAAAACTAGAACATGCACCGAATCGTTGCCGCGATTGTTTTGACGTCGAAATGATTTTTTAATTTTTTTTCTGATATGTTTCCTGGAACGATCATGATGAAATCTATGGACCCTCAAATTTACAAAATTTTCTGTGAATCCTTCTAAGCGTGAAAAATCGCCACAGTTGCCGATGTCAAATTGTGGGACTAGGCCCGCCGTTTCGGCCTCCGGTCGCCGCCCTCCCTCAAAAACCGCCCGAATTCACAGGGGGGCCTATTTCCTGCTGTCAGAGCGAGTGGTGGTTTAGCCACCACCGCCTTGTGAAATCGGGCCGATCCGTCTCAGGCAGACCGTGGCTAATGGATTGTCAAGCCAATGGGCCAACCGAAAAGGCTGGGCCTCCTGGTGACCTGACCTGGGCAGTCATAAGAGGTACTGGTGGTTTAAGGTGGGCAACATGCATATGATCCAGTATGTTAAAAGCTAGTGGTGGTTTAGGCGAGGAAGAGGTGCTTAAGTAAGTTTGATGCATATAGAAAATAGGGTGCAGTGGGTGACTGTTCTCAATGAAGGGGTCAAGATCGGGCCCTCGTGAAGAAGGCTTCAAGCGAGGGCAAGACAAGGATGCGGTTGGGGGCAGGGGAGGGGGGGTTGGATTGAGCGGACACTTGCAAAGGGGGCATCTCTACTGTGCCTTCCATGTTGAGGAAGGAAGAACTTCAAAGAAGTCTTTTAAATCAATCAAGGGAAGGATTATCAATAAAGTTGAATAAACCCTTCGTTCTTATTATTAGACAGAAATACTCACCGAGGACAGCATGGATTGCATCCCGACTGCTTTGACGCTACTAGTCCGTCACCATAGTGCTCTGTACATTGCATCCCAACCGCTGTGATGCTACTTCCGTCTTCCCCCGAACATAACGCATGTCTGCTGTATTCTAATAGAAAGCAACCTATGGTTGTATTTGTTTACGACGCATATGCGTTATGTTCCAGAAGGGGAAAGGGGGTCTAGTTCATCACCGCTATAGTGTCTGTACTTCAGGGCATCTTGATTCTTGATGTTCTAATTCGTTTCTGTCGATAGTGACGACTGTGGTTACTATGGCTTTCTGGTCCATGATGGTGATTGGGATGGGTTTTCTTCCAGGCTGCTGAAGTTGCATACGAGCTCTTCTCCCGGTGTTATCAAACAGGCCTTCAGATTGAATGTCCCAAAGTGTTGCTGCTCTTCGCCGAAATCTACAAGGTTAGCAGAATTTGGTGCATTTATTATAGCCAATTCTCGAGCCAGAAATGGGCTTCATCATCCACATTATCTTTTTCTTTTGGCTTTTTGTTTTTGCTTTTGAAGCGGTGGTGCCCACCCCGACAGTCGGTGGCCCTTGACTGGTCGGCTGCCGACCCGCTGACCGGTCGGCTCGTCGGCACCTACCGATCGGAGGTCGTCGGCACCCCGCAAAAAAAAATAAAAATAAAAAAGGGGTCCAGAACCCCTAATAACACCACCAACACCCCCATAGCGGCCCCCAATACCCCCGTGCACCCCCCAAACACGCACAAACCACCCCCAACACCCGCATCACCCCCCCAATACCCTTATACCACCCCTATACCACCCCTTTACCACTCCCATACCACCCCCATACCACCCCTATACCACCCCTATACCACCCCTATACCCCCCTGTACCCTTCCTATACCCCCGCTATACTCCAACCCCAACCCCCCCATACCCCCCTGCATCCCCAAAAGTTTCTCAGCGGATTTGGGCTATACTCAGCAAGTGGTTGTTTTCTGACTGGTCGGCAGACCGCCGACAGGTAGTCCCTACTGGTCGGCTGCAAATATGGTCGGTGGTCGGCAGGTATGCAACCCTGTTTTGAAGTATTAAAAAGCAATTTCAAAAGGCAAGAAACTTTGAAAACGATCTTTAAAAATCTTTTTTTTTTTTTTTTTTTTTTTTTAATTTTAAACGGGGCCTTATGGTCCTGGCTCCGTTCTATTCGGGGGAGCGTCACTCCGGTTCCTATTCCACCGGCAAGTCAGAATATACATTACATTGAGACTCACACACGCTTCCTTCCGTTCGTCCGAAGGGCCCCTGGACAGCATTGATTGCTCCACCTTGGTGGAGGATTAACTGCCAGCTTGCCATATCCCTCTCTTTCCTCTCAGATCTGGAGGCCAAATCTGTCAAATAGTACTATGCCACCTAGAAAGAGCTCCCCCGTAATCCCTGCTGGCCTGCCTCATCCCCACTCATCTGTCCTGCCCGTGAGGCATGATAACCGCTGTCCCATTCTATCTGTCCCCCTTTCTTTAAAGTTTAAGTCATCACTAAAGCCTGAACCTTAAACCCTCGACCCATCATCCCTTTGAGACGGTGTTTTCCCCTTGTTCTGGTCTTTTGGTCACTCTCCCTGTTATCCAACCATAGCTGTAGAAGTTTAGGCTTGCCAATCTCCCGTGGAAGTCTAATCAGGAGGTGTTTTGCCCCTCCACTGTTAAGGTCTGAGGAGAAACCTACCCCCTAAACCCTTCGCCAGCTTCTGATCTATATTAGTCAAGTCCTTTCTCATTTTATATGTCCTCCCTTTTGTACGACATCTCTGACCCCATATTACAGCAGCCCTTTGGAACCGCCCTTTCCCCTTGTTTTGGTTTTATAGAACCATCCGTCCAACTTTGTGCTGTCGAACTGTGGCTGTAGTAGTTTGGCTTGAGTTCCCGTGGAAATTTAATGTCTGTGAACGGTGATTGATGTACCCGCCTTGGACCTCTGTTGGGAGCTCCTTTCTAGCACTGAATTGTGGTTCCTTTCCAGTAGATACAGTCCATTTATCTCTTGGCATTCTTGCCGTATACCCCGCCCAGTCTTGTACAGCCTCAATCTCCCGTTCTTTCGCTGATCCTTATCTTCTGCCGAGGCTTGCTTGACTACCCTTCCTCTTCAAGAATCTGGTCCGGAGGTGCCTTGCCCTTATGCAGTTAGTCTCTGTCCAATACTTCTTCCCGAGTTGGAGTTGTGCCAGTTCTTCCAGTAAATGTGGTCGTCTCGCAGATCAGCAACTTTCCCTCCTACCAACCGTATCCTGCTGAACTTCTGTCTCGCGTTCTTTCGCTGTTCCTCATCCTCCGACCAGGATAATTTAATTTTCCGCCAACGGCACAGGATTTCTGCCTGTATCATTGCTTTCGTCTCCAGCCAAACCATCTCTCGTGAGTTGGACACTCCTTCAATTGTTCTACTGCACCTTTCCTTCCATATGATCCATAGTGTCACCTTCCTGATGAGTCCATACCAGCTCTTTTCCGCTTTCCGGAATTGTTCGGGGATGTTAAGTGAGAAGGAGAAGTTGGATGGGTTGTTCAGGGAAGGGAGTTGGGAAAAGGGAGTCCCATAGGGTCGAGGCTCTTGCCCAGAATTCTGTCGCTTCCCTACAGTGTATTAAGCAATGTACTATATCCTCTACCGCTCCCTCCGTACGTATTTTGCATTGATCGGTGCTGTCTGGGTCTGAATCCTTGCGCCTCACGTGCAACCACTGATTAACTGGTAGTGCCGCATATGTAATCAGCCATTGGAGGCTTCTGACTTTGATTGGTCTGATTGTTTTATAAATTTTCCACGGAATCTGTGTGAGCTTGTCTGCTTCCTGTCCTATTAGCCTCTGCCACCTGGTCTTAATCACCGGTTCTGGATCTTTTGTTTTTAGCAATAGTTCATATCCAAATTTGACCGTGTAATCCTGAATGGGGATGAATCTCTTTATATTTGCCCTCCTTTCTGGTTTCCATGCCCACTCCATCGGGTCGAACTCCAGGTTGTGTAGAGCTGTGTGGGTTCTGAAGATGAACTTCGGCCATGTGCCTAAGACCCGTACTTTTCTGAGCAGGAAGTAGTCCATGACTGTCGTTTCCACGTCTATATTCTTGATCGTTGTCATCCCCTTCGTGGAGTGGTCAATTGGGAAGGAGGTGAAAACCGCTTGAGTGACTGAACCGGGGTGTAGGTGTGAGAATTGGAAGGCCCTAGAGGGAGAAGTTTCCTGCACTTTGATCCCCCATTCACCACTTTTCCATGGCTCCCCTTGTTTTAGCATATCTTTCCAATCCTGAGGAATGAGATTAATAATGTATTGCAGGTTGGGTCCTCTTCTATGGCATCTCTTCAAACGTTCACTTAGCTCTTGTTCAGAGACCCATTCTTTCTTTTCTTCATTCCACAAGTGACTGATTGTCCGGACTCCATTTTTTACCCATGATTGCCATTTGTGGTCTAGGAACAGGGGTTCATCACTTTCGCCCTTCAACCATTCATTTCGAAAGAGAGGCTGCCTCAGCACCTCGTCCTTAGATTTTGGTCTGTTGGTCTTTTTTGGCATTATTTCCCTCCAAATCCGAATTAGAGATGCCCAGTACGGTGTTTGGCCGTTGTCTATATTCCTTTCTGCCTCCCCCCTGGGTCTTCGTCTCGCCCTTTTCAAGGACCATTCCTTATTCATTACGCAGAATAGCCCTGTCATGTTATTTGGCGATGCCACCGGAGCTAGGGCCCTTATGCTATCCAGGGCCAGTTTATTCCAAGCCGTTTCTGGTTTAGTCAACAATCGGACTATCCATTTAACTTGAAGCGCTCTCGTTTCACACCTCGGTTCGATGATTCCTAGCCCCCCTTGTGTCGGTCTTCTTGTAATGTAATGCCATGCTATCTTTGGGATACAGCCTTCCTTGTTGGGGTTGCCTGTCCATAAATACATCCTGGCCACCCGATTAAGTTCCTTCAGTGATTCGTCCGGGATTGTCCAGACCGACGCAATGTACCACATCATGGAAAAGATAGAAGTGTTCAGTACCAATGCACGACCAATCAGTGAGGTGAATGTGTTTCCCCATCTTCCCAGTTTGTTTAACTGTTTAGCTAACATGTTCTGGGCCATCTGTGGTACCAGGCCCTCCCGTGACATGAGGATGCCTAGATATCGGGTGGGTGTTTCTGGCGTGTCCCAGGACATAGCAGCCTCTGGTCCTTGCAGGTTGGGAATCTGTTCATCCGATAGCCACCAGCCTATGGTCTTCTTCCAATTAATCTTCATTTCTGATGCCAGTCTGAAAGCTTCCATCGCCCTGGATAGTGCTTTAAAAGACGAATCCGGAGCTCTAATCAGTACTGTCATGTCATCTGCAAACAGAATAACTGTCGGGAACGATCTTTAAGAATCTTAACACCAACTTAACACCAAACAAATGTTGCTGGGAATAGATGTCAGTGCGGTCTTCACTTAGCGGGATAGCGGAAAAAAAAAAAAAAAAAAAAAAAAAAAAAAAAAGAGTTAAACCAAGAATGTTGTGAAGCATTAAAGTGAACTCATGGCTTACCTTCGATGATTAGCTCGAAGGAGAAGCATGAGTAATAATGCATTGCCTGTCTGTAGAGCTACTGGGGGTATTAAAGGGAAAAACTACGGAACCTATTGGCGACTGCACGCTTACGTGTGCTTAGTGTCTCATGTCTCATTATCCCAACCCTTGGACTGTCGAAGTGTCATTGGGGTTTCGGATCAAATGAGAACTGTGTGATTAGGTGTGTTCTGCTAGGCCTAACCAAATCCTCGGACCCTGCTAC